GACCCCCCGAGCGACCCTCGTCCCTGGCGAGCAGGGCGCTGCGTTCGCTCCGAAAGCGACCTCGAAGAAGAAAGGGGCCGGGGGAAGCTGCTGTGCCCCCCGCCCTGGCAAAGCGCGGAGCCGGCTGGGTCGGGCAGGGCCGAGCGCCTGGAACAGCCGCTGGCTGCGCTTGCTTCCTCCGTCACCCCCAGAAACAGCCCATGTCCTGTGCCTGAGAACACGACATTCCTGGGTACCACAGCCTGCACCAGGGCCGGAGCGATGCCCATCCAAGTGCCACCCGAGCTCCCCAGCAGGGAATGGTGCAGGGCCGTGCTGGGACACCGCTGAGCTAAGCCTGTTAACAACAGGTTCACCCAGGCAGGGATTAGCGCAATTCTGCCGAGAGCTGCAAACTCAAATATGCCACTAAACGCATTTTGCTCCTGTTTTGCAGTTACTAGGTCAGTGGAACTATTTAGTAGGGAAGGCAGAAAAGTGTTCTGCAGCCACACTACCAGGATACAAACCTCCATTAGTCCTCTGATTAACACTGCTTTGGGTAGTATAGACTTACTGTATATGCACCATAATATATGATATTGTCATGTCACAAGTCTACTTAACTCCTTCAGTAGCTACTGGTTTCATGCCTGTTAAAATAACAGCTGGAATCGGTCCTTTCTGTGGGTCAGAGTGGAATTAGAGTTGTGGGATTAGTTATAAAGCCTGGTTACATGTCTCAGCTGGTGTTCTGAATGGATTTAAGTCTTTAAAAACTGGGAGGGGAAGGGGAGAATGTATAAAGCATGGCTTTACATACCATTTATCTGATGAAAAATTAACTGCTGAAGCACCCATATCGTTACATCAGCATTGTACAAACAGCGTGGCATTCCAACACAATTCCTCCACTTAGAGGTTTGGAAGGAAGCTTTTCCCCATAGCACAAAGCCGAGTTCAGTTTTTAAAAGCTAAAAAAAAACACCAAACCTCAAACAAACCCCAAAACCCAGCCTCTAAGCAGTAAGCTAGCAAAACAGAGTTTGGGTTTTGTTTACCAGAAACTTTAAGGCATTGGCTAGTACACTGAAATCAGATCTGAGGTCAGGGAAGATTTATTGCTTTTGTTACTATAAGCATCTGTCACTCAGTTGACCTCACTGGAGTTTTGCTGGAGAAAGCCGCCTGTTTTTCTCCTACAGCTTGCAAAACTCTCCTTGTTTACTGGAGCACCGGGAAAGAGGTGGGAGCACTGTTACGAAGGCCAAGCTACAAGCACGGATCACTTTTTCACTTGCCCATGCTGCATTTCTTGATTGCACCTGTTTATGAGGCAGCAGGGTATAGAGCCAATGAATTTAGCCCTTATGTTGTGATCTAACAATCCTAGGGTTTTATTTGCTGTTAGGACTTTTAATTTTAATCCAGTAGTTGGTTAAATTACTTCCCATCCTGTACGCAGCACGTTCTGCGAGGGGCACGGTAAACTTGCCGCAGGGGGTAAGATGCCACATCTTTGGCAAGAGGCAGGTAACGTACAGAGACTTAAATCCAGCTACGCGTTAGGCCGGTAGCACAGACAGATGCAGACTGCCTGTGCTCCTGTTTTAACAAAAACAAGCAGGCTCGGACAGGCTCAAACACCTACTTGGCTAAAGATAGCAGCGACGTCCGAAGCACCAGCAGGTGCTGTTTTTCCTAAGGAAAACCAGTTATCAGTGAGGTTATTCAGCCTGACTTCAGGAATTCACTTTTGCAGGTCAGATGCAAAGACAGCACAGATAGGGCAAGTGGTTAAGTTCTGTTTCCAGATGAAAGCTGGAAGCATTGCCGCCTTGATGGAGGCAGACTCGGGGCCTGAAGAGACGAGGGTGATGGGGCTGGGACTTGCGTGTTGGTAATCTTGCAAACTGGTATGCTGGAGGAACAGCGTTCTAAGTGTTCTTTACCCCAGAGCCAAGAATAATCTCGCAAAACATGTAGTGCATAGAGTCGTCTTCTAACCAGCTATGGGTTTGTAGCTCGTCCTTGGAAGCAGGTTAAAAATACTGACTGAAGAGCTCCTGATCAAACAGTCTGGTCGTGCATGGGGCATGCATTGCTCAGTTGTGGCAAACTAGAAAACCCCTCTTACACTCAAGAGATTTGGGGGTTTCTACAAAGAGTTTTCAAGCAAGATAAATAGCAATGATAGATGTGATACCCCAGCCAGTGAAGCACTTCCACTTGTTTCTGCTCATCTTCAGTCACCCCCACATCAGTTGGGCATAAGCTCAGTTCGTGGAGCTCTTCCCACAAGCAGTTCATTGGGAGTTAACTGTGCCAAACCAGTTCCCAGACAAGGGTTCTTTGGCTCACTGCAGCATGCACTTAGCTTAATTGTATCGGGCTTTAGCTGAGGAGCTCTCGGGAAACCCAAGAACTCGTAGGGAGAGCATACATAAACATAAGTTCCATTGTTTGCTCCAGGGTGAGGCATTAATCATAACCTATCATCTTTTTACTAACAGGTGGTTCATTAACCAAGTTGGCTTATTATTCAACCGTGCAGCACAAAGTGGCAAGAGTGAGATCCTTTGATCATTCTGGAAAGGTGAGAATTGTATCATGAATCAGTCGCACGCGATTGACCCCGTGAGGGCCTGGACTGGCTTCTCGTAGACTAGAAATTTTATCGGAAACCCAATTAGGAACTTGTTCTAGATAAAACTTTATAGCCTTAAAACTTTATCTAGAACTTTCTTGTAGTGTAAGTGTGACCGTCTGTCATGCCTGCTACTCTGAAATAAGTTGTCACAAGTGAAGTGTTTAAACTAAACACCCATTCTAGCCTATACTTGACACTTGCAGCCATCCCTAAGCATTTGCGCTGGAGCTCAGAGCAGAGTGTGGCTCCTGTTAATAACTTTCTCTACCAGACAGCAAAGGGTTAACCATTAGCGTAGGTTTGGCAGTTACTTTGCCAGTTTAATATAGCTCTAGATCTTAGTTCATGTGATGGCACACAGTACATGTTCTCTTCACCGAAAGGCTGCTTGCGGGGCTTCACACTTGGGCAGCCCATGCACAGGCAAACTCTGTTACATCCTCGCCATCTCAGAAGCACTTGAATTGCCAGTTAGCCTTCAAAATAGTTATTTTCTAGATGGGTAAGTATGGTGCTTTAGTAAAAAAAAAAAAAAAAAATCGCATACTCCCATGTAAACATAACTTTTCTCATACGGAGATATTTCCTGCATGTCTAATGCAAGAGAGAATTGATGGTATTCTCAGCTTACGGAGTATTAAGCTCCGTTGAAACTGTCCTTCTTTGAGAGTAGCTTGGGATGGTATGTTTTTAACAGCACTAACACACGGTCACAGCAAAGGAAGCACCGGCACTGATGTTTAGTGCTTCAGCATACAATCTTGTTCTCCAGGAAGGATTTTGGATATTGTGTAAGAAGTTATTTTCTCTTTTAAAGGACGTAGAAAACGAACCTTTGTATGAAATATCAGTTCAAGAGGAGATCACAGCTCGACTTCACTTCATTAAATTTGAAAACACGTATATCGAAACCTGCCTAGATTTCATCAAGGACCATCTTGTCAATACAGAGACAAAAGTCATCAAAGCCACAGGTGGTGGCGCCTATAAATTCAAAGATCTTATTGAGAAGAAATTGGGGTTGAAGTAAGTGGAACTGTTTCAACTTATAAGAACATATTTCTTCTTTGAAGAGATTTTCACAGGTCAACTTTCTGCTCTGCCCACCCGCCCTCAAAAGCGGTCTGCGCCGTGAGAGCGAAGCGGTGCGCGCGTCTTGGCCGGACCAGGCCGAAGGGACACGTGGGTGCGCACAAGCTGCAGATGATAACTACCTGACACAGCAGAGAGGAGGGAGCAGAGCCTACAGAGCACAACATTCAGGAGGAAGACAGTAAAGAGAGGAGAGCAGGGTATTGTCACAGCATTTTTCTGTAGGGATTTTACTTGCACCTACTCCATTTTTAAGTTAAACTAGCCTCTGCCACCATCGTGGGTTTTACTTTTCACCTCACAGTTGGCAGCATTTCAGCGTCGGTGTCCTGGCTGCCAGTAGCACGCTTCGGACATACCGCTGAACTCTGCTGGAGTGAGATGCAAGTACACAAACACCTGCCGTGGTGTATAAAGTGAAGTAATATTTGAAATAAAGTAGGGAGTAGGTTCATTACTAACAGGAATTTTAACAGACTCTGGTCAGTTACTGCGATGGGTGTAATTTGTGTATCAGTCTTACTACGTTCTAAGGACAAAGGGCACAAGACAACTTAATTATTAAAAACCAAAGTATCATTGGCAAACACTTCTTCCTGAACATATCTAATCTCTGTAGCTGCCTGGGTTCTCCAGTTTGAGCTCCAAGAGCTTCTAACGTTTTTCTGTGCACGCTCAGAAGGGAGCTAGCTAGTACAACTAATAACTTTACTGCATAGCTCCTGCCTAAACCTCATGCAGAGGTGTAGGCTCGCAGGAGACTAAAGGACAGTCCCGCAAACTTACAGCCTCATAAACTTGCCCCTCAAGCACCTTTATCAAACACCACGCGCTAAAGAGCTGCTGCAAGTACAGATAAAAACGTCGTTAATACCCCGCCGTAAAGCATTACCTGGTGTTGCTGGGGAGCACTGCAAGGCACTGCCTAGGCTGTAATTCTCTAGTACATGCTGCAGCTTCTGAGTTACTCTGCTCGTCTTCCTTTATACTGCTTTTTTCAGCTAACTCTCTTCTGGTGGGTATGACTCTGTTAACTCTTTTTTCCAAACCAGGCTAGGTCAGTACCTTATTGGCTGTTACTGAGTATCCGTTAATCAGGCCAAGGAGGCACTTCCCCCCTTTTCTCATGTGATGCACCTGTTGGTTGTTTCTTTGGTTTTTCGGTAACGACAAAGTGAATTGGTCCACGGGCCCCGACAGCAGGACCTTCTCCATCCTGACACAGGGAAAGCATTCTCTGTTAACGCAATTGTATGTTTTTGCTGTGCTGATATCTTTTCAAAAAGTCTTATGATGCTTCGTGTCAGAAATTTAGCATAAATCCGTCACAGTACATAAGATGCAGAAGTTTACAGCAGTCAGCAGGTGTTAGCTGACTTAACTACACTATTTACCTTCTCTAAAATGAGGTATCATGTTCCTAGACTCCACACTCAGGATACCTACAGTCATGAATCCTGTGATTCTTGTGAGAAGTCTTTTTTTTTTCCCCCTGTGTTTGGTAATCCCAATATCCTCCTCGCCATCACTTTAATCTGCCATAAACGGGTGCTGAAATGTTTAGAGGGACTGTTTTCCCTTGGTTGGGAAGGAAGGGAGAGCAGTAGAAAAATATTCCCTGTTAGGAAATTGTTTTGGTAGGTGAATTTCCAGACAAGCGTCCTGACTTACTTCATGGCAGTTGCACTTGTGCGAGCAGTAGGGCACTAACAGGCAGCGTAGGCGAGCAAAGAGGGGGGCAGGATGATGTTTAATGACGGCGTGATTAATGTAAGAATGAAGGTCCTGGGTAACCGCAGCCCAGCTTTGGCCTGTGTGCTGGGCATGGGAGAGGAACACCAGAGGGAAGGCAGGCAGAGGGTCCGTGTTGAAGGGATCGAACTGTTGCCATGTGGTCTGGGTTACTATCTCCTGTTTGCAAAGTCTTTAAAAACCCCTGCTGTAAGAGCGTACTTGCACCTGTGAAAGTTATGTAAGGGTTTTTCCTCCCTCTTCTCCTCAGGGTAGATAAAGAAGATGTAATGACCTGCCTAATTAAAGGATGCAACTTTGTGCTAAGGAACATACCCCATGAAGTGTTTGCATACCAGAAAGATTCTGACACAGAATTCCGATTTCAGACGAACCACCCAAATATTTTTCCTTATTTACTGGTGAATATTGGCTCTGGGGTTTCTATAGTGAAGGTGAGTGGTTGCTAAAATGTTTTATTGTAGGTGATCTGAAACATCTTACTGGTTTAGACTTGTTTCTTCTTGGGTAACGCAAAGTTTAGAAAGAAAAGAATGATCTTTTTGTTTTAATTTCCATCTCTGATGAAGTTTTGAATGCTTTGCCATTCTCTACCAGGGTTTGGTTTTCATCACGTTTATTTCGATGTGTAGAGCAGTTACTACATTAAATGATAAGAACAAAGGCTGTCAGATCCGAGTGAGCTTTAATAACTGTTGGTTTGTTTTGATACGCTGTTGAGTGGACCAGATTTAATGTCTATATTTAGGGTTATTGGCCAAGAATTAAATTAAAACAATTTCAAAACCTGCTGGTGGAACATGTACGTCTGGAGAACGTCTCACCTGATACTGACACAGTGAAATCGTTCTGCCTGCATTAATTCCGCTCTCATATTGAACTGTGTGTCTGTACTTAGGACTTTCTAGACAAATGTGCCTTGTTTTATTGACAGGTAGAAACCGAAGACAAATTTGAATGGATTGGAGGGAGCTCGATTGGCGGCGGAACCTTCTGGGGCCTTGGAGCACTGCTCACAAAAACAAAGGTATGGAAGTGTCAGTTTTAAGGGGCACGGGATTAAATGAGGTACTAAGAGGAAGCTTGAAACGTTGGAATCCCCAGTGCTTCACACAGGGAGAAATAGTTAAGGGATGTTTGCATGGGAAACCAGAAGTCCAGCATTAGTGTACTAGAAGATGAAAAACGTTATGCCTGCCTCTTCAGGGGTTTTACCTTTTATTCCAAGAATTACTGCCTTGTAGAGAAACAGAACAGGCAGATCTGAAATGCTCAGGATGATTTTAATACTCTCCATTAGGTGCTCATGGTTCTAGACTGTTGGATAGCGAGGCTCAGTCCTTATGTTCGTATTTTTGGGGCTTCTGATGCAAGAAAGGAAGCTTCAATGTAAAAAGGTACTAGTAGAATATAGGGACAAATATTGTAAGATGCTCATTGGTGGATAACTAATAATCCTGTGTGGGACTCAAGGAGTTTGTCAACAAAGTCATGTCTCTGATGCCGAGAATGGCCTCCTCAAAGTGGTCTGTTAATCTTCTGTACTCTTTTTCAACATGAAATGCCTGCCTAGTTCCTGCAATATTATCTGCAGAAGCAAAGCAGAGAGCGCCCAATTACTGCAAAATGTCTGGGAGTAGAGAGGAGGAATTCTAACTCCTTGTTACATGTTACGCATTCAGGGGTTCGTCACTTAAATCCCAGGTTGGTGATCTGCCAGAATAAGCCCTGATTTAGTACCGTTCTGCCTAACTCAGCTCTTAAATCACGCTGGTTTTTCCTGTCTCAGAGATCCATGTGGCTTAAATAGGTGTCCCTAAATGTCAGCGGTGCACAAAAAGCTAGAGTTACATATGCACCCTGTCAGAAAATGTCAAAGGGAAGCCCCATACCTGCAATATTTTGTTTCGTGCTTTTAAAGAAGAAATCTTAGAACATGACGATGCCTGCTCTTAATTCTCTCTGGTTTTGTAGCAGAAGAAATAAGGGTTAACAGACTTACAGATTCACTTTTGGGGTAACGCAGATTGCGTAAATGTTTCATTTCAGGGACGTCAGTGCGTTTCTGCAGCAGCAAAGGCAGAATCAGTCTTTTGGGTTTTAAACATTTGTTTGTTTTTCGAGACGATGTAATTCGGTTTCCTCTTAGTTACTGTGTTTCTGACTTGGTCCAAGGTAAGAGATGCATGAGGCTTCTGTTTTATATGTGCTGATGCATCTCTAGTTCGCAGGGGAAATTCAGCAGATTATTTGCATATAACTGCAGATAACGGAAGGGGACAGTTGTGCTTTTCATCGTTAGAGGAGCTCCAATTAAGATCAGTCTGATAAGATTGGGACTCTGGATAAGTCCTTGTAATTAGAAATAATGTACGTTTTGCTGGCAGGGTTGTTTCTAAGACACGCCAAAACCCCCAGTTTTGGTCAGAACTGTGGATTTATGGGCAAGGCTCTCTGGCTGTCCAGGAAAGCTGGAGTAACTCTGCTTCTCATCCTCAGAAATTCGATGAATTGCTGCAGCTGGCTTCAAAGGGACAGCACACCAACGTAGACATGCTGGTGAAAGATGTGTACGGAGGCGCCTACCAGACCCTGGGGCTGAGTGGCAATCTGATAGCTAGCAGCTTCGGGAAATCCACTACAGCAGATAAAGGTACCGGTGTATCAAAGACCTACCCACGATTTGCTATACAGTTAGTACTTCATGCTGCCTGTCAGCGTGGACTGGCTGCTGGAGCCAGCTCTCTGTGAACGCTGAAATGGGAAGAGAAGTAGCTGCCAGCTTCATCAGCTGGACCGTACCTTCCCTTCCCCGTTTCCCTGTGTTACGTGTGCCAGGCTGGGACGGGACTTGGGTTCTCCACTGATCTGGAGTTGTTTGAAACTCATAAGGAGAAGAAATGCAACCATTGCCTCTGGTCCTTGGGAGTGTGATAGAATAGAAACAGAATCACATAATCATGGCATTGTTTACGTTGGAAAAGACCTTTAGGATCATCAAGTCCAGCCGTTAACCCAGCACTGCCGAGACCACCACTAACCCATGTCCCTGAGCACCACATCTCTGCATCTTTTAGATGCTTCCAGGGATGGTGACTGGACCACCTCCCTGGGCAGCCCATTCCGATGCCTGACAGCCCTTTCTGGGAAGGAATTTTTCCTAATACCCAATCTAAGCCACCCCTGGTGCACCTCAATGTCTTTCTTGTACTGAGGGGCCCAAAACTGACCCCAGGATTCAAGGTGTGGCCTCACCCGTTCCCAGTACAGGGGACTGTCCCTGCCCTGGTACTGCT